ATTAACATAGTGACATGTTTCACACGTGATTTTCGTAATGTACTCGTTTTCAGAAGTAAACAAGACCATTTTCAGAGTGTAACTATGGTCCTAAAAACTTCGACATTGAGCGGAGCAAGAGGGAAACTATTGTTGTAGAATGTTAACAAAAATTAATTCAAATATTGAGGTTCAAAGCACCCTGCCTAAAAAAAAACGTTGATATATATCAATAAGAGGGGAGGGGGCTCCCAAGCGTTGTAGCAAGCTAGCTGTCATAATCAAGGCTATATGACTCTAACTATTTCAGAAGAAACTAGTTTGAATGTTTTAACAGATTTGACGCTTTATAATTTGTTTCCTTTCAAAATACATGCATTATGAACAAGTTTAAAGTATCTTAATTCATTTATAGTCACACATGAGACATTTTATGTCCAGTGAATATTGAAATTATGCCGTTGTGTCAAGCACAACATGGTCCGGAGATGCGCCCAAATATGGGCAACTGGGACAAACTATAAGTCCACATTTGTAACGGTTGTTCAAAGTTACAGTGGTGTGACGTGAGATTCGGTATGTTAGTATATTCAGCCATGTTGAAAATCTTTTGGTGGCCATGCATTTTGTTATAGAGAAAACCCTCAGCAAGTTTGTCGACTGAAGCTTCCGTGACCGTACATTTTATATTTGAACAATGGTAGTCTGTATACCATTAACTGGCACCAAGATGAAGAGTTTGACAGAACACGACTTTTTATTCACGACGTATGGGTATTCAACTTCCGACGGCGCACACACTGTTTGAAACCAGGGTTCAACACGTGCATCACTGTAACAGGAGATGGGAGGATGGAACGATGGGAGGATGGAACGATGCCAAACATGGAACGATGGGAGGATGGAACGATGGGAGAATTGGAACGATGAACGATGGGAAAATTGGAACGATGGGAGGATGGAACGATGGGAGAAATGGAACGATGGGAGGATGGAACGATGGGAGGATGGAACGATGAACGATGGGAGGATGGAACGATGGGAGGATGGAACGATTGGAGGATGGAATGATGGGAGAAATGGAACGATGGGAGGATGGAACGATGCCAGACATGGAACGATGGGAGGATGGAACGATGGGAGATTTGGAACGATGGAACGATGGGAGAATTGGAACGATGGGAGGATGGAACGATGGGAGAAATGAAACGATGGGAGGATGGAACGATGGGAGGATGGAACGATGACAGGCATTGAACGATGACAGACATGGAACGATGACAGACATGGAACGATGAAACGATGACAGGCATGGAACGATGACAGACATAGAACGATGACAGACATGGAACGATGACAGACATGGAACGACGACAAACATGGAACGATGCCAGACATGGAACGATGACAGACATGGAACAATGACAGCCATGGAACGATGCCAGACATGGAACGATGACAGACATTGAACGATGACAGACATGAAACGATGACAGACATGGAGCGATGACAGACATGAAACGATGACAGACATGGAACGATGAAACGATGCCAGACATGGAACGATGCCAGACATAGAACGATGCCAGACATGGAACGATGCAGACATGGAACGATGCCAGACATGAAACGATGACAGACATGGAACGATGCAGACATGGAACGATGCCAGACATGAAACGATGCCAGACATGGAACGATGCCAGACATGGAACGATGACAGACATGGATTGATGCCAGACATGAAACGATGCCAGACATGAAACGATGACAGACATGGAACGATGCAGACATGGAACGATGCCAGACATGGAACGATGACAGACATGGAACGATGACAGACATGAAACGATGACAGACATGGAACGATGACAGACATGGAACGATGCCAGACATGAAACGATGCCAGACATGAAACGATGACAGACATGGAACGATGCAGACATGGAACGATGCCAGACATGGAACGATGACAGACATGGAACGATGCCAGACATGAAACGATGACAGACATGGAACGATGACAGACATGAAACGATGCCAGACATGAAACGATGCCAGACATGGAACGATGCCAGACATGGAACGATGACAGACATGGAACGATGCCAGACATGGACTCGAATCCAGCCCTGCCCTGATGTGAATTTCCATGGCGTTATTCCAGTGATGACACAGACATCTTATTCCACAATACCATTTCCGTTATAATTACAGTCATTTAGCAATGAATAATGTTTTTACTCTGCTCTGTTATTTTTACTGTAGAAAGTCTGCTCTCCTGTTTAAAAGATCAGGAATGGAGGTTTTAATTACATATTTACTGATAAAAAGTACCGTATCTATTGTAAGGTGGCAGGCCAAGGAAACGTACTAGTTATACTATTATATGACATTTGCGCTGCATTTTCAATATTATTATGTCCAAGTCAACTTCGTTTCGAGTTATAAGGCTTTGAACCGAAATGGGTAGTACATTGTAATACGAACGTGACGAAACGTGAAAAAATACACCAATACGGACGTCACTTTTCAATCTCGTTTGGAGTTTAGGGCGAGAGGTTGAAACTATGAAACCATAGCAATAATATTTATTTCTATCAGCATTACCATGCTCTATCAATTTTAGGCGGAAATGAAATGCTTTTTTTAATCATAATAAAACCTAAATTCAGCCATTACACAGGTTAATGCTGTTTATTTGAAAACAAACTCTCACTGGCTCATTCTTCGACACGTCCGTTTTCCGTTTCGTTTAAAAGGAAAAGTCGCTCTCAGTGTCACTAAAATAACTAGAGGCCGACCAGAAAATATCATATCTATTATGAGTTCTTTTGCGAACTCAAAGTTCAAAACGTTTCTTCAATATCAACAAATAACAGCACGGCGACACACTTTCCACTGTGTTATTATCTTTAAGATATTCTCTTATAATCGGTTAAATACAAAATATGTCATAATGTTAGTATAAACTGGTAAACAAACGTTTTACGGTTATAGTGTCCATGGACAATCTTTGAAAACTCAAGTAACCAGAAAATGCACGTGCTTTGGGCTGTTCCACCAGTCGAACATTCCGGTGAATCTTTGTGGGGGTTTATTATCCTTTTACATGTATTTATTATGTTTTAAAAGCAGAAAAGAGGATGTGAAAAATTCAAATATTAGCATTAAACTGATTTCAGATGTGGTGCATAGGCAATATGAATGCCCACTGACACTGCATTACGGGAAATCGAAACATGAAATCGAGACATGAACCGCTGCCATGTTCCTGTCATACAGTGGGCATTCATATTGTCTATGAACCGCATCTGAATGCAGTTTAGTGCTTAGATATACACACACATGTATATGATGCCGATGGAGGCATTCATATTGTACATTGAACTAGTGTGCTGCTATAGGTAAAACACATGCTAATACTAATTATAAGCCAAAAATAGCATTACATTTATAATGTTAGTTTTGCAAAACAAAAAGCAATTTTGAACTTCCAGATTGAACATTATATCAATTCGCTTTATGATATGGTCTAATAATGTACCAGATTTATCAAAGAAATCGAGTTTTTACACCCTTCAGTTAACTGTCTATGGGGAATATGTGTGGATCTTGTCGAAGTGTATGGGTGTAAGGGTAAATAGATGTAGGATATCGTTATACGCTAGTTGCTAGTTTCAATGGTAGGGGGGAACATTTTCATATTGTTATGTGTATTGTTTTTGAAGATTGCTATGCCAGGGTGATATCGTCGCCCCAATCAGTCATGAACATGTATGCAACAGCCGAATGACCTAGATCGGCCAAAGAAAGAGCGTCGACAACTAGAGACGTGTAATGATGTCATAAAGGAGCAGCCATCTGCGGGTTACGGTAACTGGAGACGCCACTTGCTGGTCCAGTCTTGTTTGTGCGACGAATGACGATATGTTGCTGAATAGATGACCACTTCTTACGATAATTTTGAGGCTAGACAGTGGTCAGTATTTGATCTGTTCAGGTATTGTCTACATTCCAGAAACGGTTAGATAGGTTGTAGATACTATACATATTTGTCTAACCTGCGATGGGCCCTTGGATATATGACGATAATAAACGCCCTATATCTTATACTACAAAGAAAAATTACTGCACCTAAATGTTACCGTAAAAGAATGAGTATAATTAAGGGGTTTTGGCCTATAACATCACCGATGCGTCTTATAGGGACGAAACAACTGTATGCTGCACCGTTGTCACGTTTTGGCATTCTTTATCTACTTCAATGTTTTTAATGTGCAGTCACATGTGGGTGTATTCCGTTCCATGGAGAAAGTGCATCTGGCTACAATATAATAAGCTTCCGATCAGAAATAATAAAAACATATATATCAGTCGTTTTAAAGTTACTGAAAATTGAATATTCCCATTTAATATTGGTTATTATTATAAATCCATAGATATCTCAGAAACATCCAAAATCATTTGAGGGAAGTGTTCAAACATTAAGACTAGTTTTTCATGAAGAACATTTAATCGAAATAAGCTACAATGAAGGACATTATGCTTACTTATTGATGTTGTGCACACGTCTACTTAATGTTTACGGGGTCTGTAGACAGTAAATAGTGTTCAACAATGAATGAAATTAACAAATGAACTTTCATGAAATATCGGTATTTAAGGCGGTCAAAATGTATACGCAGTGCTATAATTGTAAACATTGTTTGGGATATAGCATCGTTATTCCAATAAATTGGCTATAATTCTAACTGTCCTTCCTGTCTTCAAGTCTGAGACGTGAACACTACTATATGATACTCGTGTTATGATTAGTTAATTATTGTACTGTTTACTACCAAAGTATAATTTGTGTGAACCAGAGATCTATTGCTCATGTAATAAATAATGGATATTTTTTGAAAGCTTCAGGAAGGATCAGAACGACACCACGACAGGCATGGAGCGTGATGTACAAAACCAGAGCGAGTTTGGAATACTGAACAAGACCAAGTTCGTGATAAAAATAGAAATTCATTTCACTAAATTCAGCTTTTTAATTATTGGAAAAACAAGTTTGGTACGTGTTTACATAACAGTGTTTCACATCTCTCTTTCTCTCCCTTTTCTCTGGCAATGTGATACAAGCATCTTGACCAAGTTTCAAGAAGGTTCCATGACTTAAGGAAATTCTTGTAACTTGTTGAAGCATTTGAAAGCATTTGTTCCAGATTTGAATAATGTTTCTTAAAAAACTGGGGCAAGGCACCTCTGCCTTTTTAAATTTATCAAACAACACCAGTTATAAATTATACGGCGACTACTTCAACATAGTGTAGTCAATATCACCCCATCTCAGTGATATCAATGTCCATCGTCTTAACATCCTGAAGTTTAGTTTTAACATCATTAAGTTTAACTCCATCGTCCTTAGGTTTAACGAATCGTGACAGCCATCCAGTGAAACCTTCCCTGTCTATGGGGTCTAATACATTTTGTATCAGGAAAACACCAACAGCACTAGCAGCTGAGAAAACGAAAAGGTCTGTCGTCAGAATCATCAATGGACTGTAATCCGCTTCCTCCATTTCCTTTCGACACTCCTCAAGCATATTCGGAACACATCTCGTTAAAGTAGCATTTTGGACACTCGTCAGATAAATATATTTCACGGCAAGAGCTATCAAGACGACAATCTGAAAAAAGTACATTGTTAAATAAGTGTATAGCATTAAATCAGCAATAGTAAGTGTCATTTAAAGTGAATGCAATCAGTCTATCATTTTTCTTTTTAGTTATATTCTGATTTAATTTTTTCAGTGAAGTAAATGGCAATCTAATGTTTACGATTCATCCCTCACTGTACTCAACGGTCATGATTTTAGCCGCCGTGTATCGGAAAGTTATGTTTTCATTAGACCATGCTTTTAAATAAATGTGTTGGCTTTTCAACGAAGTTTGGAAATATGTATAGTTTCATAGACTTCAAATCTTTGTTTTTTTTATTTTCCTCAAATAAGAGTAAACTGTTAACGTGGCTCCACACTTTCGTAATTAACCAGAAAAATTCGTTGAAACTTTCATATAATGGTTGAGTTGTAGATGTAGAGTTGATTTTATGAAAATATAAACACTCCGTTAGTTTGGGGTCTTTTTTGGAAAAAATACCAAAAAATTGAATTTTCGTCAATTATAATATTTTCCGGGGTTTTATTGTGTGTGACATTGTTCGGAACAATAACAACAATAATAAAATGAAAAGAAGCATTTCTAATTAACCCTACAAATATATTATTTATCGCAAAATATGTAACACATGTTACACAAAGTGATTTTTTATTGAATTTGTACGGATAAAAGTGATTATCTACAAGCTAAAAGCCAACAGGACACAAAGATCTATACATATAGAATGGGAAATTGAACAAAATATACACAATGGCTTTATAATTAATTTATTTTACATTTTACAAACACTTCGATCCGGGTAAGAGTTATCTTCCTTGAAAAAAATCGGAACTTTTTGCAGAGGGGTGACATTTACA